GAGACTATGGATGGCGAGGATAAATGTAATAAAGGGATCTACAAACATCACATTGGTGACCTACAGTGAGATGGGAACAGGCATGCGCTTAGGGCCCGCTTTCCAGCCAGTTTCTGTGGGGTGACACATTCTGAATTGAGGCAGAGCTCATCTGTGCCTCCCCTCAGAATGCGTCACCCCACAGTAAATGGCTTGAGCGCGCTCACAAAATAAGTGGCCCCGCTAAATTAGTGCCCGCGCTCCAGCAAGTTACTGTGGGCTTACGTGAGGCAGTGCTCGTGCTTGCCTCACTTCTTATCGCTCCCGTAGCGGAGCTCGGCAAATTTGCTGATTTTGACTATAAAATGCGATTGGAATCATACAGAAATCACATTTACACAAGATCAGTGGAGACATTTTATTATTATTATTATTTAGTTTTTCTTTAATTGTTTTTCCGTTACATTGGAGTATGACAGGTGAGGCTCTGCCTCCCCTGCCTCCACTGACTGCACGTCGCCGGTGTACAGCGTGTACTGCACACACACACACACACACACACATACACACACTAACACTGTACACACATAATGCACCCACACACAATGGCAGCATACATTGTTCCAACACACACACACACACACACACACACACACACACACACACACACACACACACACACACACACACACACACACACACACACACACACACACACACACACACACACACACACACACACACACACACACACACACACACACACACACACACACACACACACACACACACACACACACACACTGAACACACATCCTATATATAGTACGTACATACACACACTGTAAAAACACACCTCTGTGTCCTGCAGTGTGCTCAGATAATCAGGGACAATAACCTCCATGTCGTCTTCCACTTCCTGTGAGGCACACTGTGGGATCCTCAGAGGGATACCGTCCATCCTGAAAAACACACACACACACACACACACACACACACACACACACACACACACACACACACACACACACACACACACACACACACACACACTGAAATACTGTGTTTTCACATTATTTTTCTTCTTTTAATCAGAGTCGCCAGTACTCTGAAGCAGAAGGAAAACGGTGTTAGTTCAACATGAGCTGGGTTCACTAATGTGTTTACACATTTTAAAAGTTAAAAGCTATTTCATCAACATTGTTTGTGGGTCAGGTCATTGTATTTATGTGCCCTCCGCCAATAAATAATTCAAGGTAGGGGGTTTGGGGCCCGTTTATATTAAAGTGGACCTATCATGCTATATTTGAATAATATAGTGTAGGACCATACCTATATAAGGCATATTTATACTTTTTTTTTTTCAAAATACCAAACAGATCATGCATTTTAGCCATGCCTCATTTTGCTCAATTTGCACTTTTGTAGCTCTGTTTTTGCAAGGGCTGATTCAGTGAGAACAGCACCACTTACAGGCCTGGCATATGTACTACAGCGTCTCCAGCGCTTTCGAACGGCAATGGCCGTGGCTGTCTCCTCCTGATTGGTGGAGTTGGCCCAATAGCCGTAGCGCCACCGTCCTGACGTCAGGACAGTGTTCAAATCTGGATCAGTTTTTATCAGATCCGTTGCAACCCCTTTTTTAGAGATTTGGGTATGGAGGAAAATAGAGAGGGTTGTGTTTTCTGACACTTGGTGAGTTCCCTGGAACACCGGGGACACATATTCATGTATAAAAGACGTACAAAAGTGCATTTTGCATGATAGGTCCCCTTTAAACAAAGAACATCTTCACTGTCCTGCCTCATGCAACTTGTCTGCTACTTGATGACAAAAACACCTACCGAACTTTCTCACCTCTCAACAGCCTAGCTTTAATCTCTTAACTAAGTGAAATGCTGCATCAATACGAGCTGCTTTTTAGTCTTACATCAATATTGGTTTGATATTTTAAGGTGTTCTGGTAGAGAGGCTAGTTTGCTTGGTTAAAGAAAAAACGCATATAAACAATGTCCTGGTAGATTTGATATAGAAACATTGTAACTAGTTGTGGTGCTAGCTAATCAGTTGGCATTTGTTTAAGGTAGGCTAACCCATTAGCATGTGTGATGAACTAACATCAGAAAATAGCAGGTTAGGGTTAGGGTTGGTTACAACAAAGTGATGGAGGATTCAATACAGCCTCGTATGATGAGCAATGTTTTCTAAAACTAATAAAAAAACTAAACTCAAACTGCAGTTACCTGATTAACATGTGAACTTTCTGGTCAAATTATTAAAGTTATAACTGTTTACATCTTTATCCCTTTTTCATATTTAATACAACTGACTATACCCTTAAATATGTATGGAGATTTTATATCAGATCTTTTTAATATTAATAAATGCACACAGGATTTGATCATTTAATTTCCGATTTAAATATACATGAATCTTTCAACAAACATATTTTCGATGAACACTAAAATAAATGTAATATGGTTATGTAAAATAAAAATCCACAAAGACTTTCAGTAACTAGATAAAAATCAAGCCTTCAGCTCGACGAGCCCTGTCTGATAAGATGATATGTTATATGTAACGGTCATAGTTCTGTGTCCCAGTGCATAATTCAGCATTGCAGAAATATTGGTGTCCTTTCTGATCACAGCCTTATCTTAAAAGAAAAAACATGTTAGGTCAATCCTGCTTTCATCATTTTGGAAGAGTTCTTGAACCAAACTGTTGCTTTCTTGATAAGATGATTGTATATCATATAATGCTTTACTTCCTGGTATCAACAAGAACCCCGCCCCCAGCTCACCCAGAGCCCTGCTGCTGGGATGTCCAGGACACACACACTAGGGCTGTGCAATTAATCGTATTTTAATCTCGATTACGATTTTGGCTTGCAACGATTACGAAAACAGCGTAATCGAAATAAAACGATTATTATTATTTTTTCAATAAATGGATGTTTTCAAAGTAAATGGATAATTGTTTTTAATAATCGTAATATCAATTATTGACCAAAAATAATCGTGATTAGGATTTTTGCCATAATCGCACAGCCCTAACACACACACACACACACACACACACACACACACACACACACACACACACACACACACACACACACACACACACACACACACACACACACACACACACACACACACACACACACACACACACACACACACACACACACACACACACACACACACACACACACACAGTTTGTAAGATTGTCAGTCACAGGGCCCTGATTAATTCAGACCTGTCATTGCCCTATGTCCCCCCCACAACCTGAGATCCTCAGATGCTCCTGGACAATTTCAGATCCAAATACAGAGCAGATAAAGCATTTGCAGTCAGGGCTCCTGGACTCTCAATAGGACTAATTAACACCTGACTACACTGTAGCTGTATATATGACATTACAATCTTTGAACTTAACAGTATATTCTCTTTGCACAAAGTTAAATCTGAGAAAAGCTTGAAAGCTAAATAAGAGGCACTTTCACAGAAGTGTTATGCAATGAGGAGTGAGTGGTGCAGGCAGGCTCAGACACATCAACATGCTGCTCTGACCGTCTGTCTGGTAATCTCTGCAGGAACTGGCACATGGTGCAGGGTTTACAGCAGTAAGCTCCTCCTGCTCCTATAGTCTACATTCGCTGTGATTTTGTTCATCAATCATTTTTTATATAAAAATGGTGCTGACCTTTGTTATTCCATAGTTCTCTATCTATCTGTATGTATATAAATAAAAACAATCATCAATGTTAAATAAACAGTACGTAGACAATAGTTGTGATTTGTTTTTATCAGCTATTTCAGATACTTTGAATGCTCTCAGGCTGCAAACCCATTTGAATGGTCAGTATCTGTAGATTCGACTCTTGGTAAACTATTTTACAAGTAACTTTTGTTAAATGGTTGGAGTAAAGGGCAGCTTTGGTCATTTGTGTACTACGTTTGCCCCCTGAAAAATAAATGAACAGCACTTATCCTTCAAGAATCTTTGTTACAGTATATTGTAGAATGCATGTGCCTACCTAAACGATATTTGGATGTTGTAATAAAACAAATGTGTGCTTACCTGTGTGGTGTTGGAGCTGCTGTCCCCAGCAGTGTCCTCTCAGGTTAATCAGAGGGAGCAGTACCGTATACACACACACACACACACACACACATAGCCTGACGTCACAGATTACAGGAACCTGCTGTCAACACTGTGATGTAACACTTCCCTGTCTCCAACTCCATTTTCTCTCGTTCTTCTGTGGAGGCCAAACCGATGCAGGATTCCTAAACCAATGTGAGGTTCTATGGTATAATAATCTACATTTTGAAAACATAAAAAATGTCCTGACTGCCTTTATATTAACCAAACATTCTGAGTGTGAGGCACTCAGCAGGGCTACAGCTGTCTGACACTGCAATCCAAACCAAGACTGCACACCTCCCTCAGGTCTGATTATTTATGACATCTGCTGATTCCGGTGCCTCCCTGATATTTCAATATTAGTTGTTTTTCTTTTCAACTGGGACAGAAAGGATTAACCCAACAGTTTCAGACTTCCTTTCCAAGGAACTTGCACTGAATATAAACGTAATAATAAATAACTTCCAGGAACAACAGTGGGTATGAAAAGCATCATTGTCAGTTTCACTTAGTACACTCCTTACACAAATATAATCCCAAAAAGAAATATCAGAACTAAAGCTATGCTGTTCATGTGTGATTTAATAAAATATATAAATCAAAAAGAGATTATGTATAACTATGTTTATGACTACACGTTTTTCAAATTAGTTTGAATAAATGGCTCAAATCTGTATTTTATTATGTACATGTACAGTATTTTTTTTTCTGGTAACGCTCGAGGAACTTCAACGATTTAGAACATGATCAGTGTCAACTTTAATTTGATCTGACAAAGAGTTATACAGTGTGCACTTTACATGGAAAATATATAATTGGTTCCTTAGCTCATTGTCTTATTTAAGTAAACAGAAGGATTTAGACAAACCACTTCAAAATCCTTTATTAACACCTGTACTCATTTACATGTTATTTACATGTGTTCTGCCGGGCTGATCCTGGCAGTGCTCCAGCTGCAGGGTTCACTCAGCGCTCTGCAGGGCCGAGGCCCAGGCTGCGTCACACGGGCCGTCAGGCAGGATCCAGCTGGGAGGGACCGCAGAACCATCGGGATGATCCGCTGGAATCACAAAAACATCCCACTCCCTCCTGAAAGAAAACACAGCCCCACAAATCAATGTCACTTCAATGACATGACAGCAGGGCATGTGAGCCTTCACACTGTTACGTGACTACAAAGTGTCTGTCAATCCACTTTCAGTCAATCCACTTGACATGTCATTTGATACGAGTTGCCAAAGGACTTTAAGGCGTAGGCTCCACGAGGACGAAAACGGGTTGAATCCGCATATTTCTCATGCGTATAGCCCTCTAAGCTCGACGACGCCGTAAGGGAAACGTAGAAACAGACCCCGCAAACGACAACGGGTCCAAAGGTAGATAGATCTGGGAACGGAGCGCTCTGGGGGGTCCAACGGGGCCGTGGGGTCGCCTATACGGTCATCCGTTTCATAGCCCCGCCTCTCCCCACACCCCGCATCATTGCTGATGTGTTTCGTTAACAACAATAGCTATTTTAATTACCTCTCAAACTACCTAAACTAGTTATAAATATGTTTATTTTTACTGTCGAGTCATCATTACTGGATCAGCTGCTGCATGAGACAGACACTGACGCTGTGAGAAGAGAGGAAAAAGAGATAGGCTCTGTGTATTTTATTTTCATATATCATTATATCGTCGTTATTCATTTGTTTTAAATAAATAACAAAGAAGACCTTTGACCGGCACTTTTATAATTTTGTCCGGAAGATTTAAACTTTAACACACGTTGACTGGCGAAAAACTCTGCCCGGTTCCCTCGGCCCCCACCGCGGAGAATAAACAGAAGTGCAGCCATGACAACCATTCTTCTTCGCTGCTTTTGTGGAGGAAGTTGCTGCTTTTGTGGAGGAAGTTACAGCGCCACGTACAGGCTCGGCATATGTACTGCAGCTTTTCCAGCGTTTGGATGTAAACGGAGCCGTCTCGTGGAGCTTGACACAATCCGGTGTATATTGCGTGTGGGCGGAAGGTTTTTTGCGGTTGCATTTGCGTTACTCCGATGCGTTTTGCCGTATTTGTTCTCGTGGAGCCGGGGCCTAAGGCACTACAATTATTTTGGTGAAACTGGATTTTTTTTAAATGTTTCCCCTCTGATGACCTCCGGCTGCTCTGCCTCTTGGATAGACAGTTTCCTGAGAGATACTTGTTGCTTAAGTAACAACCGCTAACAGTAGCTGCCATCAGTTAGTTAGCTGTTAGCACAGTGCTGAGGACTGGGCGCTTTGAGCATGTATACTCCGTGTTTCCTCCGCTAGCAAAGGATCTTAGGGCTGCTGCTAGGAGGATGTTGGCATCACTGATGATATGGATTGTTTTGTTGCACTTTCATCCTGTTTGGCTGTGTTAGAAAAAATGACTCGCTACATTTGAATCATAAGTAATTTGATCAAAATTGATATATTTGCAACGTAAGAGCTGGATATATTAACAACAGCTGTGTATAACTCTATAAACACCACTTGTAGACCCCCGATCGTATCACATCACTTCAGTCACTTATCTTGTATCATTCATCTGAAGGGCTACTTAATTACTGATAGAAGAAAATATAAAAGAAAATTAGCAAGTTAACAAAATATCAAAGAAAATGAACAAGTTCAGGTCGTAACCACTCTGGAGCGGCAGCTGCTGTGGAGTAGCAGTGTATCGCTGGAGGAACAGGAGCAGCAGAGCACTGCAGAGATTGACAGAAGCTGTGGAACCTCAGTGGCATTACCATCAGCCACATTTCACTCTGGGTAGAAAGTGATTTGAGAAGTAACGCGATACTTTCTCTCCCCTACTTGTATGTACACATAACTGAATGTTTATTGTTGTTGAGCATCTCTATTACTGTGTAAGTACAAGGAGAGCATCACAGATATAAAGATAGGTAGAATAGAGCGGTTTCTCATACAAATATCTGTAATTCATCATAAACATTTATTTATTTATGTGTCCATTTCGGCTACCACCATTTTGTTTATGACAGACTGAAGGGCAGATGAAGATACCTGATTTGCAGAAGAGCGTGCAGGGAGTGCTCCGCCTGGGTGTAGTAATCTCTGAAGGGCTGCAGGACACAACCAGCAGGAAGCTCCTCTGAGACACAGGGGACATAAGGATCAGAATATGATGTCATGTCAGCCGTACTGTTACAGTATGGACTAAAGTGCTGAGGTGGTGGGAGGGAGCTGTTACCCCCGAACAACATGGCGTCCACTCTGCGTTTCCTCTGCAGCTGCTTCTCCCTCTCCTTCTTCACTTGCTTCTCCTGCTCCCTCCTCCTCTCCTCCTCCTGCTCTCCTTCCAGCATCACCATCAGAGCTTTCTCCTCGGCGGAGTAAATGCCCGTCCTCCTCTTCATCACACACCTCAGCTGCTCCAGCCTGCTGCTGAACGCCTCGTCGCATTCTCGCTCAGTGGAGACCCCTGCCAAAAACACAGCGACAAATTAGAGACGCAACGATAGCGATCAGTCTGATGACAGGAAGTCAGTCCATTTCGTTCTTTATCCCAGTCAATTGTGGGTGTGTGGTTCTGCATTTTACTGACACAGCAACTCTAAAAGGGACCTTTGTGCCACTTCAAAACCTGGGGTCACTTCCATATCTTCTACTGGGTAGCCTGGTATGGGATTAAGCTGCCTGGCTGAAACCCACCTTTCCTCGAGGCTGCCTCTTTCCTTAGCTTGCGCAGTTTCTCCAGAGATCTCAGAATGTCCTGCATCCTCTTCACGTCTGCCTGCTTCTTCCTCACCTCACAGAGAACAGAGTCTGCAGCCAGCTTCAGCTCCCTCTCCTGCAACAGAAACACGTCAACTCAGACCATTCCTTCCTACCTGTGATCTGCTGGCGACCAAACACTGTGGTTAACAGGTCATCTTGTCTGAATGAACGAAAAATCACAGCATGAGGTGATCTGTGCACAGCCATTTCTTATGTTTTGTATAATTAGGGCCCGTAAACTATTTCATTGAATCCTAAGGACATTTAATGCTTTATTGAACATCGAAAATCTACTTCCATTCCCTCCACGGTCCTGAAAGGAGGCAGAAAACTAAGACAGAATACAATGTTTACAATGTTTATGGCTAGATGTGCTGTTTTTTTAAGGATCTTGTTGAGATGAATAGAAATTAATAAAATAATTGAAAATGTTAACATGCCAGAAAAGAAACCTCCCTGTCAACATCTATCATTGGAGACCCTGGTGCAGGGGATGGAGACCCTGGTGCAGGGGATGAATGTGTCTACCAATCAGAGGGTCAGCGGCTGATCTCCAGCCCCCGCTGTCACTAGACCAAATAGTAGGCATGTCTACAGTACTGAAAAGTGTGTGAAAGGCGCTTTGGGTAAAAGCACCAGCTAAATGACATGTAATCAGCGCTAGTTGAGGACATATAAGTGGTGTAAAGTAACTAAGTACATTTACTCAAGTACTGTAATTCAGTACAATTTTGAGATTTACTTGATTATTTTGCCACTTAGTACTCCTACTCCACTACAGTTCAGAGGTACATGGTGTACTTTCACTCCCCTACATTTATGTAATACCTTTAGTTACTTTACAGATGTGGATGAATGATGTGAAATATAATCAAGTGTTAAATCAGACTTTAGTTCCACCTGGAGTAAATTCACAAGCTACCCTGCAGTATACAAAGTAATTCAAACTAGCTGCACCTTTACCAGCTTTGAGAACACTTTCATGATCAATCATTATAAAACATATCATATATATTATTCTGAAATGGACCAATCTGCACAATGACTACTTTTACTTCACTTTACTTTTCAGGACTTTTACTTGTAACAGAGTATTCCTACTCTCTGGTACTTCTATTTTTACAAAAGTAAAACTCTGCTGAATACTAATGTTGCTCTGAGTTTGCTGGACAGATGTGTCTGCTAACACATTATAACACCTTTAAAAGGTGATGACATGTTTTCTTTAAACTTCTTTTGCCCCAAAGTGGAGAAAAACTGTATCCAGCTTTGAATCATCAGGCAAATATGTGTACCTTCTTCTTCTCCTCCACTTCGTGTATCTTCTGCATCCTCCATTTGTCTATGGCCGCCTCCTTCTCAGTGATGAGCTGCTCCCTCTCCCTCTCCTCCACCTGGAGCCGGCTCCTGGCCCTCAGGCGCCGGGCCCTCCTCTTAGCAACACGGCACAGTTTAGATTTCCAGCTAGCTAAACCCTCACTGTCACTGAGGACTTCGAGACTGTCCTGTAGCTCTTTCTTCACATTTAAAGCCAATAAATACGAGTCCGTCCAAACACTCTCTTCCTCCACACTGTTCCTCAGGGTTTCGCAAGACTGTTCCAGCCGGGAGACGAGCTGAGCGGCCGCACACAGAGCCTCCTTCAGCCCTGGAGCTGGGGCACAGCTGCGGGGTGAAGGGTGCCGCTGGGTCCTGGACGTTCTCTCTTTTCCTTTTAAGAACCGTCCGAGCCACTGCTGGTCCTGCCTTCTCTGGAGGGCTGCTTCATCCTCAGGCTGTGTTGTTTCTCCCGAAGTCCTGTCATGGTCCTTACCCTGCGTAGGAAACCGAGTTGCCCTCTCAGAGAAACCCTCAAACCGCTGCTGTTTCTGACCTGAGTCGTGCCGGGCAATCTGAGGACAGGCTCCATACTGCTGGGTACCGGTGAATGGTTGAAAGCTTGAGGCTTCCCTGCTGTTGTATGTGTTCACCGGGGCGTTGGGGTAGTGTACGGGGGGTGGACAGCCGAAAGGAGGCGGGGGGATGGAGGGGTTGAACCCATAAGGAAGGGGCATGCGAGGCCCCCCGAAACCCACTCCTCCTTCGGGAGACGGCGGGGGGAATTCGCACCTATAGCCGTACGGGTTACCATCATACCCAGGTCCCGGTGGCCACAGTGGAGCAGTGTGGTCCGGCTGTGTCTGTTGATGAGTCGCGCTACACGGCCGAGGTATGTTAAAGCTGGCGGTATACGGTGCTTCCAGATAGCCGGCATTATAGGCAGGAGGCTGCGGTGTTTCTGATGAAGCGTGGTGATATATGTTGTCCATGCCGTGAACAATAGTACATTAAATGTATGTTATCTACAGAAATAAACAGTTACACATTCATCTCAACTCTTCACAGGAGCCATGTTTATGTGACGTCGTCGGTTATTATTCCTGTTTCCGGCAGCTTTAAATCTTTGTTATATTACAGCGCTACTCTGGCTAAAGTGAGTACTGCCAAGTGCCAACGACTCACAGTGACTGAAGAATAAATGTAATTTTGATGTTCTACTACTACTACTACTACGGTCTACGCCTATATACTACAGTACATCATTATGATAACCATTACTTGAATACATTCAATTTACTTTATTTCCAAAGGATAATTTAGTATTATTCATGCTTTCCAAGAAGTCCAGTGGGGCCTATTTAAATCACATAAACGTAGATAGACAACATAGACACAAACCTATTTACGTTTCTACCTTAAACATGACCCTCCAACTTTTTTACTTGCTGTTTAATTTGTTATCGTTGATCACACAACGGTTGATTTTTTCTACGAAAAGTGCTTATTATGACGGTTTGTGATTCTCATTGGAATCAGTTGAAATAGTTTGGGCCTGAGAATCAATCCTGAGGTGGCCACTTTTTTTCCTTTCCCAGTAACCTAAAGCTAAGATGATATACCAGCTGTATACTGGCAAGGAGGCAGAAAACTAAGACAGAATAAAATGTGTACAATGTTTATGGCTAGATGTGCTGTAAAGCTAAGATTCTATAACAGCTGTTTACTGGCAACAGCTGGGTTTTGACGGTTTTGACCTAAAAGCAATGGAAGAGGAAGGGGAGTGCGCCATCTAGTGGCTAAACGTTATGAGTTGCACCTTTTATAAATAATTACATTTTAAACTGCTTTAATCAGCTTTCCTTTGTAAAATAGTTTGTTAGGGTGTCTGTATGGTGCAAAGGGAAATTGTATACCTTTAAATCAAACAACATAGGCCTATAGCCTCACATGGGCTTTCATACACCGTGAACAAGACCTGCGGAGTGGGGTCTGCTACAAAAGGCTAGTTCCTGTCAACACTGTGGCCAGATGGGCTAACCGGGCTAACGCCTCTGTGTTCTGAATGTTCTAAAACGTCTCTGGATAACGTTAGCCTGGGAAAGCGGAGTCATATGAGCAGGCAGGCAGGCAGCCAGGCAGAGTGGCGGACTGACAGGCCGACTTGTGTTGTCGGTAGGCGGCTTCATCCCATGGTAGGCGGTGGCAGAGGCTTTGCGGAAGTGTATGAAAGCGGAGTCATATGACTAGCGACTCGAGCGCCGGAAAAAATGCTACCTAGATATGGATAACATTCCTAGGACACGGTGACTAACAACCACAACGAAAACGGTAACCTAATCCAAAAATCCTATTTAGACACAGGCAATAACGTTATATCTGGTCATTGAACTATCACCGTAACGAGTGCTTCATCCTTAACACTAACAGTTAGCTGTTAAGCTAATATAACAGTCAGGTGTTGGATAGATGTTGTGGTTTTAAGCTAGCTGTTTATAATTCCTGACTGTTTGTCTCTGAATGTGTCCTCAGATGGAGGAGATTAAAGTGTCCCCTGACTATAACTGGTTCAGAAGCACAGTGCCCCTGAAAAGAGTAAGTATGTGTGATGGTGGTCCATAACCACTGGCCCAGTGCTTAGTACAGGACAGGCACACAGTGACATGATGCATAGACATATGGACAGAAACAGAAATAAAACAGTATGCATTTCGAATGAAACTAGGCATGATGTGTTTATACCAGGGATCTCTCTGTGATAACAAGCTGAGCTACTTATCAAACATGTGTTTGCTCAGAGCTGGTCCTCATTGACCTGCAGAAAGATGACATTTGCATGTGTGCCTGATTACACTGTGTGTCGGTCCCAGGAGAGTTGAGTTCAGTGTTGCACCATCTGACTGACAGTAAGTAGTCCAAACAGAGCTTAAACCGGACCAACTTAATATTTTACCTCCATAGCATTTGTCCTGCGGAGCTGTGAAGGATTAACAACATTATAAAGTGTTGGTTCTTTAAAAACACGGCTACTGGTATAAACATTTAATAAGAAAAATAATGTGAGATAATAAACACATCATATCATTACTTATATCAACTATGAACAATTACTTTTTCTCAGTCATCAGTTCTTAGGTATTTGTGTGTTCTGAACCCGCCCATATATATATTTAGAAACAGGATAATCTCATATAACATACATTGGAAGAATAAGAAGTTGATCCAATTGGAACCCCAGCACAATAACTACAGTTTAAGGTGGGACTACATTTCTGATGAGAAATAGAATAGGCTTCAGCCTGCTATTGCTGGGCTCTAAGATCCTTTATGTACTTTCCTTGGAAAGGGGAGCAAGTTTTGGTGGAAATTCTTGAGAAATACCAATAATTAATCCCAAGAATACCACCTGACTTTCTGTGCAAAAGTAAAAATCCTCCAAACGGAGCTGCTCTGCCTATAGAAGACTAAACAGACTTTCTGTCCTCACTTCCTCCTTCTTAGCGCCTGCCTAAGGGGAGAGAGAGGGATCATTTAGAGTGTTGAAAACTCTTTTTATTGAACTCATGGATCACACTCTGTTGTGTCTGGGTCGTCTCTGCTCTTCCTGTTTATTCCTGACATTCAGATTTTCACATGACCCCATATTACAAAATAAAGTACTGTCACATAATGACCTTACTGAAGAATAAACAGAGTGAGTTTGCTACCACTGAGCCCCTCCTCACTACACATGGCTCAGTGTTACAGACTGACACTGCAGAGGACCCAGAGACGTCTCTGTCCCACATGTTCATCAGTCATCCTCACATGCTGACTGTGACACAGTGCAGGTTATTCTGGCATCATGGCTTCATCACAATATTCTCACAGTGTTTATTCTCTGTGATTACTTTAAAGCCCAATCAGGTCAAAGTATCTGAGATATCACAAAACAAACAAAAGCAGGTATTTCAGGACATGAAATACCTGCTTTTGTTGATCATGTTTGTTGATCATGTTGCAGCCTCTTTATATTGTTTTGCGTCAGGTACAGTCTGAATATGTTCAGTATTGTTAATCGAGTCATAAGGCCAGTGGGTGAAAATGAGTCTTTGTAAGGTTTACTTTTAACCATGAGGTAAACACACCTCTACCATAGATTATTATATGTGTATTATTAAAAACTTCTTCCGTTTCGTCTATGGTCTCATATTTTATACTTCAAGTCAAATAAGGCGATATAGCATAGTCTGTAGGGAGTTTGCTTTGGAACGGAGTAAGGACTGAAAGTGAACTAGTACTTTGAGAGTTTCCAGTTCTCCTACCGGGCCCTGCTGTAGGCCCTTGAGCAAGACACCAGTCCCCCACACTGCTCTTCTGGTGCTGTAAAGTAGTCAGCCAGTCAGTAGCTGCCCACTATTCCTAATACTAGGATTGGTTAATAGCAGAGTCTAAACTGAACTGTGTGTGAGAGGTATTCAAATTCATCCATTTCCTAATAATTCCATCAGTGTGTTCCCTGTGGCCTGGTTTAAAAATTGTGTGTGAATAAAAGCTAAGAGTTTGTTTAGTTTTCATAAATTAGTATCTATTTTCCTCACCTTGTGTTTGTATTACCACCAGATCATTGTGGATGATGATGACAGTAAGGTGTGGTCGCTGTATGACGCCGGCCCCAAGAGCATCAGGTGTCCCATCATCCTGCTGCCCCCCGTCAGCGGGACAGCTGAGGTGTTCTTCCAGCAGGTGCTGGCTCTGACAGGGTGGGGCTACAGGGTCATCTCGGTGAGCACCACTCAAAACGTATCTTCCAATTATACAGCTTCATAAAACGTATGCTTATTTTCCTTCTGGATTAGTCTCCATTCATCTCCGAATTGTTGTCTTGTCCATACATTTTATGAGGATTGTCTATCTTAAGTTTCTAAAAGCTTAATGGGGCAAAAATGCCAAAAATTCTGAAGATCAAAATAGTTGATACATTTTGTGTTGATAGAGTGGTGCAGCAACGAGTTGTAAAACCTGGACATTAGTCAGCATTATTTCACTTCTGATTCCCTTGTCTTAGGAAGGTTTTTTTGAAGGTGTGTTTGGTTAGATGCCTGAACAAATATCTGTGGTTAACACAAGCTTTAAAGATCTTTACATGTTGTTCTTCAACATAACATTTGTCATAGTACCCCACTGTCAAATCTCTGAAATTGAGTGTCTAAATGAGACTACTAAACGTCATTACAGTGAACATAATCCGCCTTTAGCTTAGCGGTGGTGATGCACAGCCAAAACCGTGATTTTGTTTCTGAGAAGCCTAATGTTAGCTTTTTGCCAAAGCTCTTATTTTCTGCAACATTCCAAACTCCAATTGAAAATCCCATTGCTTTTTGTTGATGGAGCCCTAGTGATGCTAACTTTCCGGTTTGGCCTACAAAAACACATCATCACTGCACCACTCTATAAACGCATTGATTATTTGACTTATTAGTTAGCATATTGTCCTGGATAGATGTGTGTAAATGTCTGGTGTTGATATTTTGTGTGTGTGCTTCCAGCTGCAGTATCCTGTGTACTGGGATCTCATGGAGTTCTGTGACGGCTTCCGGAAGCTTCTCGATCACCTGCAGTTAGATAAAGTAAGTCTGTGTTTTCGTTCAGAGCTGAGCATTATTATTTTCTTTACCCATGATATATAAAAATGTAGGGGGGCCACACTGCTCAGAGGTGTTCTTTGTTTGCCCGCTGCTTACAAGCCAATACAAACCACACCTGGACAGAAAATAAATTGAGTGTTGGAGTTACGACTTCTTTTTGTAAGCTGACCCAGCGTTTAGCATTGGCAACAGGATTTGTCCATGTGATTTTGGATAGTTGCTGTACATAAGTCTCTGTGTCAAACACACGTTTATGATTCTTACAAGTTTAGTTCAGCAGGATAATCTCCACATATTAACACCACTTTATGATTTCTGAAGTAAAAAGCTAACGTAAGGCTATAAAGGAACTACAGCAAGGTCACATGACTTCACAAGGAGGCTAAAGTTCAGTATGATGACCTTTAGTAGTCTTATTTAGACATTTGATAGCAACCGCTGTTAATAAGAAACATAAAGGCTTTAGACATTCACCATTAAAAATGTCAAGCAGGTCAAATGCTGACTCATTTCTGAGTTTTAGGACTCATTCTTGCAGCTCTCTATAGGACTGTAAATAACGCAGGTTAGTCACCCCTCTTATCTAATGATGGTGTGTCCCCTGACTCTGCAGGTCCATCTGTTCGGAGCGTCCCTGGGGGGGTTCTTGGCTCAGAAGTTTGCAGAGTGCACACACAAGTCTCCCAGAGTGCACTCTCTCATCCTGTGTAATTCATTCAGTGACACCTCCATCTTTAACCAGATGTGGACAGCAAACAGGTGCGTTAAAGATTCCATCACACACCTACCTCTCCGTGTTTAAGTTCATTCATATTAATGTCTGCATGTCCCTCCAGTTTCTGGTTGATGCCAGCGTTCATGTTGAAGAAGATTGTTCTGGGGAACTTTGCTAAAGGACCTGTGGACCCCAAAATGGCAGATGCAATTGACTTCATGGTGGACAGGGTAAGAGGACATGTATGTGTGTAGACCAGGGATGGGCAACTTTGAGGATAGTGAGGGCCAAAACATTTTTTTCCTCACTACCACTTTGTGACCATGCACTTCCATCGGCAGGATACTATATCCACAACATTTAAATAGCCAACTTTAGCTAATTTAATGAAGAGAACTAAATATATACAGGCAATAAACATTTATTGTACCAAACACCAACACTGAGTTTAACAACTAATATTCATCTTTGTATTGTGTTTCTACTCTTCCCTCACATTCCATTACATAAAACCATCAATTATGCATTTTCCTGACCTCCACCCACAGCTGGATCAGTAAGCTGTACATCTTAATGAGATATGTGTGGCCTCTCCTGCTGCTGCACAATAGACTGAATGTCAATATCAACATTTGCACATCTGATTTGCATGAGATGGAACAGTGTCCATCTGTCAGTCTGTTTCTCTCCCTTCACTTGATGTGCTTCATTGTAGAGAAGTTGCTCTCGCAGATGTAAGTGCTGCCAAACATGCTGGCCATTGAGAGCGCAAAACCCCTGAGGAGTGGAAGCGGGACTCGGGTAGCAGTCTCCGAAAGGAAATGACCCCTCTCCTGGCGCTTTGCTAGAAAGGGGTCTGACTGTTGTTCGCACATTTCAAGCTGCAGCTCAGGGGGCTGCTCTCTGATAGCAGCAGAGGGGGGGTCAGTGAATAACTTGATGCGTGGCTGCATGGCGTGGAAATCTTGAAAGCGCTTCTTAAACTGCTGCTGCAGTGTTTTACGCATCTCTTCACATGAGAGGGAGTGTGCCAGATTAGGACGGTCGGCTGCAAATCCGTCTTTAAGCAGAGTCAGTTTAGTAACAAATGCGCTCATGTGCGCATATCTCCAGTAGGGCCTGGCTCATTTTGTGTAACTGCATATTCAGGTGATTAAGATGCGAGGTAATGTCCGCAAGGAAAGCCATGTCGAGAAGAAAAGCTGTATTCCTGAGTTTTGCGCAGTACGCACTTGTATCACATTGGATGGTGTCCTCCAAGAACATGGGGAGTTCTGCGCGTAGCGCAAAAAACCTCTCCACGGCTCATCCACCTTATCTCTCTGTGCATCTGTAAATCACCGTACGCCGCGTTCACTTCATCCAAAAAGGCTATAAACTTCCTATGATTGAGAGACCGGTTCCCTCCTCGAATGAGATTAGTAGTCTTGGTAACTAAATCCATGACATGGCTGAAGTTCATTGATTTGGCACACAGAGCCTCCTGCAATATCAAAATGAAATTGGATTTAGCTTTATTTTTTTAACGAAGAATACCCACATTCAAAACCATTAGAATAGCTAACAATAACGTTACGTACCTGATGTATGATGCAGTGCAGTATTGGACAGTCAACGCCACTCTGGCGGAGGAGGCCGGCGAATCCAGTGCGCTTTCCTTGCATTGCTGGCGCACCATCGGTGACAACAGCTGAGAGCTTGTCAAAGCCTCCGTGCGCACTTACAACAGCGGCGAAAATATCTTGTCCTTTGGTAGTGCCATGCAATGAAACCAGTTTCAATAACTCCTCGTGCACTTCAAATGAACTGTTAATGGCCCGTGTGTAGATGAGAAGCTGGCTCACATCAGTTATATCGGTGCTCTCATCCAACTCTAAGGAAACGTATGCACAGTCATGCATGACTTGTTTTACCTTTTGTTCGACATGATTTTGTATGTCAAATATTCTTGGAGTCACTGTCCGACGGGACAAATTGACGGTTTCAACGTTTAGTAGCCATGTTGTCATCTCCGAATGCTTTAGCCATCTGGACTGCACACCTCTTCACCATTTCACCGTCCGGCAGTGTCTCAGTCAGTAGGGGCTTGGACTGGGAGCTGTAGGGTCGCCGGTTCAAGTCCCCGACCAGACCTAAAATATGGAGTGTGGGTCTGCTACTTGGAGAGGTCCCAGTTCACCTCCTGCCCTGCTGTGGTACCCTTGAGCAAGGCACCGGACACCCCCCTTCCCCCCTCACTCCCATTGCTCCCCGGGCGCTGTACAATAGCTGCTCACTGCTCCTAATACTAGACTCCTGGTACTAGGATGGGTTAAAAGCAGAGGCGACATGTCACTGTGTTTTCTGCATGTGTGACCATTAAAGAGGGTTTCATCCCTCCCAATTCTATTCTATTCTATTTCGCCGTCAGACAGGGGCTTCTTAGCTTTAGCAAGCTCAAAGGAAACGGCATAAGATGCCGTGAGAGACGATTCCTGTGTAGTAAAAAAGGTCTGCTGCCGGCATATTTTTCCCTTTTAGGTCATTGACGACGGCGGCTCTGGCAGCTCCTGTGTACTTGTCATATTTGTCTTTGTGGGTGCTGTTGTAGTGGCGACTTAAATTGTAGTCCTTCATTGCCGATTTAGTTTCAAGACACACCAAACACATAGGTTTGCCTTTGAATCCTGTAAACAGATCATCCGTTTGCCATTTTGGTTGAAAGACACGGTTTTCTTGGTCCAGTTTTCTTTTTTGGGCACTCGTGTTTCTTTTCCCGCCAGAGGAAGACAATCTACACTTGGCTGCAGGCCTCCTGAATTTGGGGGGAGGGCCTTCTAGCGGTGAATATTATGAATTACAAGTGGGGGTCTGGTTCAAATTATTTGTTTGTTTACAACTGTGAAACCAATATATTTTTGTAAATTGACTCGTGTGCCACACAAAGTGAGGGCGGTGGCCGCGTGCCGCCAGTTGCCCATCCCTGGTGTAGACTGTGAGAGGGGACATACACGTGCAACACATTTCTCAGAGCAACCATAACCAGCTAACCAGACCAGCTGATCTGGCATTTTTGTGTGTGTATTAAAATATTGCCCATAGTACAGCTGTGTTTTCCCTAGAAAGGGCTTTGTCTCATCTCTACATTACTTGAAACCTGTTTAAAGATCATGTGACATTTTAATAGCTGCACTCATAAAATGTTTTGGTGAAAAACTGAGCAGATGTTTAGCTCTGGGTAAGGATAGCCCTGCACTGAAAGGTTCAAATTATTTATATTCAGGGAATAAAGGAAAGATATCTGCCGGCTGTGATTGGTTAATCCTCGCCACGTGACATCAGTGTGCACGGCGACCATTGTGTCCCTGTGAAGTGTGTAACGTCTCTGTGTGTTTTTCTAGTTGGAGAGTCTGAACCAAAGTGAGTTAGCATCGCGGCTAACACTCAACTGTCAGAACTCTTATGTGGAGCCGCACAAAATAAAAGAGGTCGCTGTGACCATCATAGATGTAAGTTTTGAACGTGTCTCACTCTTACATTGTCCATTCGTGCATATTTCTACTGCAATAACCTAAAAGCGTGTCTCTCTGAATGTCGAGGTGTTTGATCAGAGCGCTCTGTCACTGGAGGCCAAGGAGGAGATGTATAAACTGTACCCTAATGCGAGGAGAGCTCACCTGAAAACAGGAGGGAACTTCCCCTACCTGTGCAGGAGCGCCGAGGTCAACCTCTACATACAGGTACGCTCTGCTCTGTCATCCACTGCTCCGTCAGCCACTGCTCTGCCATCCACTGCTGTGCCATCCACTGCTCTGTCATCCACTGCAGGGTTCTTTACACTATAATGACCAGCTCGCTGCACATTAGCCTGCTTACTACACAGCTACTTACTAAATAAATCAGTAATTTCACACAACTCATTGATTTAAACATGATCATATTGCTTCCTCTAAGACAAAATAGTCCATTGTGCATCAACGGTTAAACTGCGGCGACAGCAACGTGACTTAAAATGACGGCAGCACTGATCAAGGTTTTCTCTAACTGTCCAGGTCTGTTCAGTTTCTTTTCCATTAACCAGTCTTTAAACACTGCCGAGCCCATACCGTGCTACTATTAGTGTTTACTTCCTATCTGTCTCCTTCTGCTGTTCCCTTCAGTGTTACTTCCTATCTGTCTTCTTCTGCTGTTCCCTTCAGTGTTACTTCCTGTCTGTCTCCTTCTGCTGTTCCCTTTAGTGTTACCTCCTGTCTGTCTCCTTCTGCTGTTCCCTTTAGTGTTACCTCCTGTCTGTCTCCTTCTGCTGTTCCCTTTAGTGTTACCTCCTGTCTGTCTCCTTCTGCTGTTCCCTTTAGTGTTTATCTCCTGTCTGTCTCCTTCTGCTGTTCCCTTTAGTGTTTATCTCCTGTCTGTCTCCTTCTGCTGTTCCCTTTAGTGTTACCTCCTGTCTGTCTCCTTCTGCTGTTCCCTTTAGTGTTACCTCCTGTCTGTCTCCTTCTGCTGTTCCCTTTAGTGTTTATCTCCTGTCTGTCTCCTTCTGCTGTTCCCTTCAGTGTTACTTCCTGTCTGTCTTCTCTTGGTTTCTCTGTCCTCCAGATCCAGCGTCCTTAGCAATGGTCTGCTATAGATAAATAGCAGACTGCTGAAAGTCCAAATTGACCTATCAGAATCTAGTAATAATCTAAGAAATGGTGGAACTGGTGGTGTACAGTCCTCAGGTGGACTGACTGATGTTTTTGGTCGCATGATCGGATGGTGGTGATCCAATCATAGGAGTCATAGGGTTACAACCAACATTTACATCCACACACACACATACCTGCAGACACAGTGGTTGTCTGCTGTGCCGTTTGGTTTTGATTGATTTGTCTTTAGTTTATTTTGTATGACGCTGCTTGTTTGTTTGCACAGATCCACTTGCGTCAGTTTCACGGGACGAGGTACGCCGCCATCAGTCCGTCTATGGTGAGCGCAGAGGAGCTGCAGGTGCAGGAGAGCCAGCTTTCTCAGCATGAGGACGACGACCAATCAGAGGATTCCTGCCTGCAAGCTGACCAATGAGAGGAAAGGATGTTCCCTCTCCATCCTTTCATAGGACGTTCTCCACTTTTCTATGGAGCGAGTCAACTGAGAATATTTTTATTCAACAGATGCAGCAATATTTTGATAATGAATTGTATATAAATGATACTCTGCCGCTTTGCTTTAAAAACCTACAACACTTTGCCTTACGTGGAATGAAAATGATAATTGTTGCACTCATAAACTGCCTGAACTGTTCCTGCCTGAACTGTTAATGTCTATGTGTAAAATAAATACTGGGCACCAGCCAGCGGTGAACTGGTCCCCTGTGAGCAGAGATGGACAGCGTGCTGATGGACTGACTTTCCACGGTGTGAGCAGCAGGAGTGTGTTCAACTGCCAAAGCTTCAGCCACTGAAACGTGAAGGTCACTGGATGATTTTGAAATGTGAGGCTTCAGAAAGATGCACAATGTTTATTCAAATCTGAACTACAGACATGTTACACTCTTTCTCTGCTCCTGAACACTTGAAAAATAAATGAAATTATGTGCTGTGCATTTTATAAGAGATCATGTACACATTCTCTACACACCATCAAACATGTTCTCTCCTTTTGGTGACTTTCTAACAAGTGGATGTTAATTTGGTTGTCATTCGTTGAAGAATTTCAGAATGTGCTGTAAACTTCCCTCCAGTGTAGCAATCTGTCCAGCGTCTCCTCAGCCCTGCACACACTTCATTCTGACTGTTTAGTTTACCTTTATGTAATAAAATATGATCATGTCATGTGACGAAGAACCATCCACACACAACACAATGTGCTCAACACATATATATGTATATATGTATATACGTATATATATGTATATACGTATATACGTATATACATATATATGTATATACGTATATACATATATGTACGTATATACATATATGTATATACACATATATACACACATATATGTATATACACATATATACACACATATATACATATATGTGTGTATATATGTATATATATGTACATATATACACACATATGTATATATATATACATATACAACGGCTCGTTGTAGCTCCAATAGCTCCAGCCCCCACCCTCCCTGTGAGCACAGTGTGCTCTGATTGGTCGGGACGTTGTGAATCGCGCTGAGCTCCGTGGAGGTGTTGTTTCCTTGTTTAGGATACATAGCGAAACACAGCCAAACTCATCCTGAGCACACACAAAGTCACAGCCGAAGTAAAAACAATAAGTGTGGCTTGATATTGAGTAAGAAAAAGGTTGATAAACGCTGTGAGAATGGGTCTGCAGAGAGAATTTCGCCGCGATCCCAACTGTCTGTTATCAGCCTGCAGCCAGGGAGGAGAAATCAGCTGAGCTGCCTGCTCCCTGCACACAGATGTGTGTGTGAGGAAGTCCGTGGATTGGTCAATTTGGACCAATCAGCGGGGGCTTAACGTAACGGCTCCGTGGACGTAACGTAACGGCTCTTCGGGATTGGTCCATTTCGTTCCGGGTACGGCTTGACATCATGCCGTACCCGGAACGAAATGGAAGAATCAAATGGGCAGTGACGTATCTCCAACGAGGCGTTTTGGGGAGGTATTTTCTGTGTTAGAGTTTTACTCGCTACAGGGTGTACTTTGAGGGTTTTGACTCTGCACACCGTTTACATGCATAAAAACCTTCATAACACAGAAGGGGACGGGTAATAACCGGAAAAGCATGACACCGCTCCTTTAAGTTCTCCCAGAGAACCCGTCATGGTCATTAAACTTGTCCATCCTGTTTAAAAAAAGCTCAATATGGCAAAACAAGACAAATAAAGAGCCTCTTTTAAAACATGATTTTTTAATACCACAGCTTGTAATCCTTTGGACTTCGCACAACCATAAAATACATCAAAGTTTAAAAAAAAGACGGAGGCACTGTGTGGAAATCTCACGTGTGTACAAAAGAAAACAAGGAACCTTTGTGAACTCAAACTGTGCACTGCCTTCACCAAGCCACCACCTCAAGGTAACAACATTTATCAGATCTGAAGTGAAACCAACACAACTGCATTCAAAGTGACAAGTGAACTTCCATTAAAAATGTTAAAAATATTAGGCGTCATTAGTCCGAGGAATAAATAAGATAAAAGCATTTGTGCAAACATGGGGATCAATTTACAAACAGGCCAAAGTCAGAGAGCTTTTAATAACTCCGAAGGATCACAGGAGCATGATCTCCATCTCTGCAGAACACCTCCGTTGGCAGTGCGAATCAGCAGTATTTAATTCATGACAAAATAAAAAAATCATCTTAAAAACAAAGCTGTCCGTCAGTAGAAGAAAGTTCCGAAGTCGCCCATGCCGTTGCGCCTGAACTGGTTCCCCTGGATGGAGACGAAGATCTGGTGCTGCATCAGGTCCTGCACGGCCCGGCTGCACGACGGCTCCTTGCTCCTGCTCAGCTGCCGGCTGAAGTGCCACTTCCTGCCGGAGCTGGAGGCTGCGTCGGTGCCGCTGCTCTCCGAGTCGGGCCGAGCCTCAGTGGACTCGCTCTGTGCTGAAGAGCTGGAGGAGAGGAGAGCAGCAGACCCCCCCGGCTGAGAGTCTGTATGGCCAGCGGGTTCTTCTGGGGAAAAAAGTGTCGATATTGAAGCTGCGCTGCAGAGAGCTTCTTACAAACAACCTGCCTTCACATGTTCGTCTGTTAAAGTTCTACTGACCCCAAAACATATAGTCTATACACTTTCATTATCATTGATTTAACTTCATTTGTTCTGACTCCTGTAGGATTCTCCATATTAGATTCACAAAACTCACCCCAGGAGTTGGTATTGATGCCCAGAGAGAATATTCTGAGTCCAATAATGTCTTTAATTAGGTGATGATCCTACTGTAACCCACAACCTGTTTACCCCCCCTCTCTGGATAGGACAGGGAGGAGGCAGCTACGTCCATGTTCCAAAAGTATCTCTATATGTTGAAATAATATACATAGAACATGTAAATGACGGAGAGCTCCACAGACCTTCACTTCGGTCTGCAGGGACTCCCTGCTGTTCTCCGCTGTTGGCCTTCACTAGAATCACCCCGTAGCCCTCGTTGTTGTGGATCACATTGTTCTCCATGGTGATGGACGGCATCACATCGAGCTCATCAGCAAAGTCCTGCACACACCAAACACACATTGTCACATGTGTTCAAACATCAGGAGCAGCGTTTCCGCCAGGGGGGCGTCTTGGCGTCATTTGAAAAAAAAAATAATAATTTGAGAGAAGATCGAGTTTTTATCGCTTGAAATTACGAAAAGGAAAAAGGACAAGGACATCCCTCTGTTGGAGGGGCAAAGGAGTCTGGTGGGATTCTTTTCACCACCAGCAAAGCGTGTTCCTGTGACGGAAAGTGTACTGCCGGCAAGCCTTGACAGGGGGTGCTAGTGAAGCACGCGCGTGAACTGCGAGCACCGGAGCCTAGCAGCGGCGAAACTGAGGCTCCGTGGTAAACTGTGGTAACATGAAGAGCCGTTTAGGAGCCGAAAGAGCCGGCTCTTCTTAGTGAGCCGAGCCAAATGATCCAGCTCACTAAAAAGAGCCGGAATTCCCATCACTAATACGTAAAGAGATGGTATCTATAAGGGACGGCTCAATTCAAAATTCAAGTCACGTCACACCCCCCCACTCTCGGGTGGACGCCCTCTCAGCCCTGGTCTGGCGGAAACACTGATCAGGAGGATAAAGGCTCTTAAAGAGGGGATGTCAGGACAGTGCTTGTCACCTTGATGAGGATCCCGTCTTTACAGTGATGGATGCCGTTACCCACCAGACTGCACACACTGCCGGGGTAAATCTCCACACCAGCCCCCTGCAGAGAACACACAGGAAGTCATATTAACATAAACACTTCCTGTAAACTGACAACACCATATCTGCTGATCTGTACATTATCACTTCAAGTACTAATGAATCATTCCTAGTAGAGAAAGACCATTGGTGCGTTTGAAAGTGTGTGTTACAAGCACATTTATATTTATACATTATGTATTTTGTTATACTGGAACATGAGGTGATCAGTGTTATCCTTTGATAAACTGTAAATATACCAACTTAACCTCTGATGAGCCCACACCTCATTGTTCAAGCATGGAGACGTTTGATAAAAAAGTATAATTAATAGTCATTTATTACATGGCTTAGTTCAAGAATCGAATAGTCGATTCTGATTGATCAATTCAGAACACGTGACACGTTGTTAATCCAGAACAGACAGACCGCTGTCAAGGACTTATTGACCGTTGTTAAGGATACTCACATCTGCACAAAGAAGTCAGGTCGATTTAACTGTATACCGTTAGGCCGAAAAGAGGGACAAGAAAACAGCGGAGAAGTAACGGGGCAGAAACCCTCCTTTTTACGCAACGGTCCAGACATAGACATCAAACAGCAAAACATATTCAGTTGCCAGTTACTTTGGCATTAGGGCAGGGATATTCCAGTTCTCAGATCAGGATATCTAGATACCTGATCTGAGAACTTCCACACCAACACTATGTGCAATATACATATCAATATAATTACCATCAGTACAATACACTCGCTGCTATATAACTATGTGCAATATTATTATTAGTATTATTAATAATGCTATGATAACGTGCAATTACGTAACTGCCACTATGTTTTATTTTTTGCACGACTAACTACTAAATACTGCTAATAATTGCATTGATTGTGTGACCATCTATGTTTCTATGTTTCTATGTTTCATGTTGTCTGTAGATGTTTAATTGCTCTTTTTGCTGCACTTTTAGTGTACAGTTTTGCTGTTGTGCTGCTGTGTTTATTGTATTTTGTTACTCTGGCACAACAATTTCCTTCGGGATAAATAAAGTCTTATCTTATCTTATACTTCCCAAGGTTTAACATAATGAATTGTGCTATTTTTAAAGCAAGCAACGATGTTTTCAAATCTGTAATCAAAAAGGTCTGCAAAAACGCTATTGAAGCAGTTCCTACCGTTGCTACGTAGTTCAAACAGTAACAACGGACTATTTTTCTTAGCGGATGCATGTCATTTTAAGTAAATAATAGCCTACTATTTTTTAAATCAATAAAAACATTTTCTAAATCTATAAAAGCATTTCAATTAATATTGGGAGTCATATCGTTAATTTGTTGAGAATGTGGCCATGTAATAAGAGGGATAATGTGCAGCGACGCGGTCATTATACATGTGTGTGTGTGTATATACATGTGTGTGTATATATATATATAATGCTGTTCAGGATCTTGAACAGCATGAAACGGTTTCCCCATAATGACCAAGTCACTGCACATAATGACCGCTATATATATATATACATATACATATATATATATATATATATATATATACATATATATATATATATATATATATATATATATATATATATATATATATATATATATATATATATATATATATATATATATATATATATATATATACAGGTGTGCACATAACTTTTTGAGTGAGTTACTCAGATGAGTACCAGGAGACAGCGTTTGGTACTCACCCCACATGAAGCGTGGTGTTAATAAGTGCAGTCTTCCTCACTGTCCTCCTCAGTGTCTCCTTCACTGTCCTCTATTTACACTTCTTGCATGCTAGATGATGAAGATGATGATGCACCTCCCTGTCTCTTTGTAAGCCTCCAATTGCTTTCTCCAAAACTTGTTGCCAAAACTGTGAAGTCCTTGCATTTCCTGAGGCCAAGTTGAAGGATCAAATACTAAGAAATTATCACATGACTTGAAGTCATATCTGATTTCAGAGGTGGGAAGTAACAAAGTACACTTATTCAAGTACTGTACTTAGGTACAATTTAAGATACTTGTAGTTTACTTGAGTATTTCTATTTTATGCTACTTTGTACTTCTACTCCACTACAGTTCAGAGGTAAATCATGTACTTTTCTTCCACTACATTTATTTAATACCTTTAGTTACTTCACAGATGTGGATGAATGATGTGAAAATATAATCAAGTGTTAAATCAGACTTTAGTTCCACCTGGAGTAAATTCACAAGCTACCCTGCAGTAGCCTATACAAAGCCATTCAAACTAATTTTTAAACACTTTAATGATCAATAATTATAAAACATATCATATACATTATTATGAAATGGACCAATCTGCAAAATGACTACTTTTACTGTCGCTACTTTAACTAGATTTTGATGATAATACTTTTCTAATTTTACTTGAGTAACACTTCTTCCACCTCTGTCTGATTTCAAACTCTTCCATTAACAGCCTGAGTAAGTTTGCAGCTGTGTGTTTTATACTCCACTTTGTTGTAAATAAAACTGCAGCAGCTTGACCACAGAGCGTGAACGTTGTGATCAGCTGATTTTGCGCAGTTCTCCAGTGTGTGCGCGGGGCACAGAATGTGCACAGGGGAGTCTCCCACCGCAGCCAGTTGACGTAGTTTTGGTACAATTCTGTTGTACACACCGACGTTAACAGCAGCTCCGTCTGTGCACACGGCGACCAACTCTGTCGTCCAGTGATCTAAGCCTCTGCCTCCTGTGAAGCTTCACAGGTCCGTCGGTTATGTCCTGCGCGGCACGGCCAGCACCCAGTTCAATCAGTCATAGAAAGTCTGAAGATTTTAGCAGGGAGCGAAACGGCAAAGTGGCTGCTTAATGTCTTTGTTTTTTTTGGACATGTCTAATAATTTACTCCACTGAGTGTTGACAAGAAACACGTATAGAAGAAATATGTGTTTTGTTTTGATGACCTATCAGGTACGCAAAGGCGCGTTGTGACGTTACGCATTTCAGATTGTTGCCGCGCATGCGTACCTGCGTACCAGTTATGTGCACCCCTGTATATATACACATACATATATATATATATATACACATACATATATATATATATATATATATATACATACATACATATACATACATATACATACATACACACACATACATACATACATACATACATACATACATACACATCTGTGAGTTGGATGTAGAAGTGTCAGAATCAATATAGATGTTTTTTATTTTAAAGAAAATTCAGATTTTACATAGTAAAAAACTGTAAATTATAGTGTCCGTCCAAAAATTCTTTTTTACAGATAGTGAAAACTACCCTTGGATGGTGGGTTAGTAGACTAAAAGCTTTAGGAATCCAAAGTGACATTTGACCTTTTTAGAGAGGTTTAGCCAAAACCACCCCACCTCTGAGGTGATTTGGGTGAAAATTGTTTTTTTTCATATCTCTGGGCCCCCCTTGCTCGATTTTGATGGTTGACACCTCTTTCTGACCGTTAGAGCCAATAGAATTGAAGGGGGGAGGCCCCCCACACACACACACACACACGTTGTGAAGAGAAGAGGTGGGGGCTGCGCGCATGTAATTTTGCACCAGAGTGGACCGATCTCTCGCTCTGACATTTGGAAACGGAAAAGCAGTTTTATTGCTTATGGATTATCAGAAATCATTTCAAAGAGGACACAGACACATTGGATGAACCTATGGATTAACTGCAGCATCGTTTTTTTATCGTTTTAATGCCATTGAAGACCAGTTTTGACCAAGGTAAGCCATGTTAGCGTTTCTAGCTACCTAGCTCCACATGTTCTGATGTACGTTTTCGTTTATAGCGTCGCAAATGTTTATCACTGAGTGTTGAGGTTTTTTACACAGATTCTGTGTCTCCAGGCGATGCTAATCGATGGGTTGGCTGTGCATCTAGGATAAGTAATAAGGGAGTTATGAGTGAGTTTAGGTGCTGTTTTAGGTTACATTTTTTCGCTCGTGGATCATTCAGAGGCTGAGTGTTAGCATTGTGGGTTTTTTTGGATTTTTTTTTTTTTTTAAAAGATCAGTTAGCTGAGTTTCTTCCCGTTACATGGATATAAAACATTCCTAGTTTATTAAATATTAAGATTCCTTAGACGTTGTTTCCTGCAAATGACGCGTTTATCCGCCCGGTACCGGGGGGGCGGTGCGTAACAGGTTAAAAAGTTGTATGTTAGTCACATGCTCACTCACTAGGAGGACGCCATTCTTGCAAGCATGGAATATCTTAGGAGGATTCATAAACAATGTGTTTGGGCATTTATTGGTGCACAAACTGGTACTGACCTTGGAGCCGTAGAGGTCACACATGTTCATGGTGAGGCGGGCAGAGTTCCGCACGATCACTCCGGTGGTCTCACACTGCAGCACACAGTTCTCCATGTGAACTGTGCCCTGACGCACACCTGACACACAATAGGAGAGTCAGCAGGCAGCCTCACAGCAACATGAGTGCAAGGAGACATGGGAATAATTATAATCATGGTTATGATGAGAATAGTTATTGTGGGGTGACTCAGAAGGGACAGACAGCTCTATCTGAAAAACCTTGTTGCTGACTGTAGTCAAATTAGAGGGGGGGGGGGGGGGGGGGGGGGATCG